TCCCAGCAGATTTGACAGAAGCTGGTTTCTGTCTGGGTCACCATTCCCAATCCTGGGGATTGGAGAGGCCTGGGGCCATGGGATGCCCCATCCCCATCACCTGGTAGGGGTAGGGCCTGGTGGCACCTCTGCAATAATGTCTGTTTCTTTCTCACTTGCCCCTGGAACTGGAGAATGCACTTTATTCTGGGAGGTGAGTGGGAGAAGACCCAAACCTCCTTTCTTGCTGCTCCTGATGCGGTCTTCGATGCTCCACCCCTCTCTGGAGTTACTGGCACATACATGCAAACAGGCAATCTCAGTCCTACACTTTCCATCCCCTACAGTGCAGAGGAAGAGTGACAGTGGCATGGTGGTGGTGGGGGTGCTGTGGGGGGGTCGGTGCCAACTTCCTTCTGGGGATCCCATTTCGGAGACCCTAAGGATGAGGCTGGTGCTGCCCAGTGTGTCTCCAGGATCTGCAGGTGTCCACCCCCCCCAGTCTTCCCTCCCTCCCAAACCAGGGTGGCACAGGGCACTAGCTCCCTGGAGTTCAGGACCCAACACAAGCACAAGCACGGGTATAAGTTGGCCTTGGCCACCGCCACCCCACGGCCCTCCTTTTGTGCTCCACCCTGGCATTCTCACTCCTCTACCCCTTCCCCAGCTGCTGCTACTCATTCAAACTCCTATCCATGCCCCTCCACCCCTTCCCATCAGCAGGTAGCTCCTGGGCATCAGAACAGCATGCCCTGGGCACCAGGTGACAGATACACCCAGAGCATATCTGGCTTTCCTGGTGGGTCCAGGCTCATTCTGTTTCTGATTTCCCCTCCCTCAGGCTCTTTTATCCCCCTTGTTCCTATACACATTCCTCTTCACCTTCCCTCACCCTGTCACAGATTCTTCCCATCACAGAGATGCCAGTTGTATTTGTGGGATTTCACCCATTATTAATAAAACCTATATTTATACAGTATGCAGTGTGTGAATGTGTGTGGGTCTGCCACCTGGTACCATGGGCCTGAGGGGTTCTTGAAAGCACTTGGCAAAGTATCTGTCAGCTTTAGGGAGCCTGTGGCAGGGAGTATGGTAAGTCATAGGTGATGTCAGGTTTGGGAATATGTGGTTTAGGAAATATTTGTATCATGCTTTACATCTTACAAATGTTTCATGCCCAAGGGAGTCCCAGGCCAACCCTTTACTGTCTCTTATGACAGCTTATTTTACAGATGAGAGAACTGAGGTTTGAGTTAAGTAACTTGCCCAAGGGCCCTCAGCTAGTAGAGGAGGAACCAGGCCTGAAGACCAGTTCTTCTGTCTCCAGACTCCTCATTCTTGGCATTGGTCAACAGCACTTGTTCACGGTGGATCTGCACGTGTGGGTGCTGTGTCAGTTGCATGAGTGAGTTCCTGCCTAAGTGATACATGCCTCTGTCTTCAGGACTCACGGAGCCCTGGCTGTGCCTCCAGGGGAGGAGGTGTGTGAGTGGTTCTGAAGGCCAATGGAAGCAAGAGAGACCCTAAAGCCCCATCCTTGGGATGGGAGTACCAGGGAGTACCTCGCTGGGCTTATTCTTCTTTCTCTGTTTCTTCTTTTTTCTACTGGGTCACATTTACCAGGGCTGAGCCATCAGCCACCAGGACTACACATGAGGTTGGAAGCTGGAGGTTTGGAGTAGGCAAACATCCAGAAGGTCTTAAGGGCTAGTAACAAGGTGACCCAAGAAGCATCACATTGCTTCATTCTCTCCTCTCCTGGGTCCGAAGCTCAGAGATGGAAGGAAGTGACTGGCATTTTTGTGTGTGTGTGTCAGATGGAATCTCAGTTGCCCAGACTGGAATGCAGTGGTACACTCGTGGCCACCGCAGCCTCCACCTGCTGGGCTTAGGCAATCCTTCCACCTCGGCCTTCCAAGTAGCTGGAACTACTACAGGTGCATGCCACCACACCCGGATAATTTTTTAATTTATTGTAGAGATGAGGTCTTACCAACTTGCCCAGGCTGGTCTCGAACCCCTGAGCTCAGGCAATCCTCTTGCCTCTGCCTCCCCAAGTCCTGGGGTTACAGGTGTGAGCCACTGCGCTTGGTTAGTGACTGTCATTAACCTGCCAGCTGCCTAGAATGCCCTATTTGTGCCACATGTAGAGCTAAGTGCTCGATTAGCTTCAAGTCCAGTCTACATAAAGCCACTGCATTCCACATAAAGCCACTGCAAACCAACTGGCTTTAAAAAAAAGTAAGATTCTTAATTCTACCTTTCTCTTTTAAAATGTAAATATTGCTGGGCACAGTGGCTCACACCTGTAATCCCAGCACTTTGGGAGGCCCAGGTGGGAGGATTGCTTGAATACAGGAGTTCGAGACCAGCCCAGGTGACATAGTGAGACCTTATCTCTACAAAAAACCAAAAACTTAGCTGAGCATGGTGGTGTGAGCCTGTGGTCTCAACTACTTTCAGGCTGAGACAGAAAGATTGTCTTAGCCCAGGAGGTCAAGGCTGCAGTGAGCCGTGATCATGCCACTGCACTCTAGCCTGGGCAACAGAGTAGGATCTCAATTCTAAATAAATAAATGTAAATACTTCTGAAAGGGTTAAACATTTATAAATTCATACATTTATAAATTCCCTCGGGAGCTAATAAAAGCCCACAGCCGTTCCAGAGCCAGCAGGGGCCATCAAGGCACAAAGAACATTTGTAGAGTGGCTCACATATTTGCAGAGAGAGCTCTTTTGATTCTCACAGCAACCCCATGAGGCTACCAAGATGAGTACTGTCATTTCCTCCTTTTATAGAGAAGGAAACAGGCTTGGAAAAATGACTTGATGCTGTGACCCAACAGCTATTCCTCCCACCAATCCCAGTTAACCCACTGAAAAGAGCATAGCACTCTGCCCACCTATGTATGTGTTGAAATGGGCCCTCTCTTCCTAAGTGCCAGCCTACCTGGACTCAGAAATCACTTTCTTCTTCCTCTTCTTCTCTCTCTTTTTTTTTGAGTCTCACTCTGTCGCCCAGGCTGGAGTGCAGTGGCACGCTCACGGTCACCGCAGCCTCAACCTGCTGGGCTCAGGCGACCTTCCACCTCAGTCTTCCAAGTAGCTGGAAATGTAGATGCGCGCTACCACGCCTGGCTTATTTTTTGATATATTGTAGAGATGAGGGCTCGCCAAGTTGCCCAGGGGGGTCTCAAACCCACAGGCTCAGGTAATCCACTCACCTCAGTCTCCCAAAGCGTGGGATTACAGGCTGAGCCACCAAGCCCGGCTGACACTATAATTCTTAAAGCACCTGGTGCCCCATCCTGAGGTCAGACAACAGAGGACATGCCCAGAAAATGACTCACAGTACTTCTGTCTTCAAGAGAACAGTCAAATTATATGTTATTAATAAATCTACATGGCGATCATACCCATGGGGAAGGAGAGGGAGGAGGGAAACAGCTTGCTCTGAGCTGTGTCCGGAACTGCAGTCAGGTGACTGTCTGCCTCGCATGACTAGGTAAGTGGAGTGAAGCTAGATGAGTCCACAGGGCCCAAAATGTCACCTGAGACCACATTCATAGGGTCACTCTACTTCTTCCCCATCCCATGCTACTACTCCCTTGAAGTACTTCTTTAAAAATACAAATAAGTTGTCTTCCCTGCTGCCTGGGCTCTTCCCTTCCTTTCTCTGACTTATTTTCTAGAATTCAGTTCAAATGTTACCTCCTCTGCCAGAGATAGTGACTTCCTCTTCTGGGCTTTCCTAACACCTTTCCTCTGCCTCTGAAATGCATCATTTGTAAAAGCAGTGGTTGGTCCCACTGGAGGGAAGCTGCTATGGTCTGATCCCTGCAAGCTTGTTCTTGTTGGCGACCTAGGGCCTAGTGCTGGGCGAGGCCTGTGGGGGTGATGTGCTTGGTACTAGCCCAATACCACACAGTCAGTGAATGACCAAATGTCTAAATGAAATACCACATTGTCTTTAGTCCGTATGGAGGGTAGAGATTGCAAAGCCCTCACTTGGAGTCCTCTGTGAAGTCCCTATTGCACATTTCTGCTCTGTGCTCTTTGCACACCTGTGCTTGCATGTGAAGGCATGCCTAGCTGTGGGTAGTGGGCGGCTCCTCCATCTGGGTTACGTGAGCTCTGGGTGTGCCCTTTGTGGAAGCACAGGGCTAAAGGTGGGGGCTTTGAGAACCCGGAAGCCCCAGGGCTAGGCCATGATTGGGTGCCCGACAGGAAGAGCAGGTTAAGGTGAAAGCTCTCCCTCAGCCTCCGTTGGTCTTCCTTTCTTGACCAAAGTGACCAGAGGCCACACACAGAGTTCTGGGATCCGAAGAGAGCCTGGGATAGATGGGAGAACCCAAGAAGGGCTTAGGCTCAGGTCTCTGCCTGGTGGTAGGTTGGAAAGCTGAAGAGAGGCAGAGGGAAGGATGCCCTGGAAGCATGCGGTAAAGTAGGAGGATCCAGGCCCGGAATTCCTGTTCTGGCTCTTCTACTTCCTAACTGGGTCAACCTGTACAAGTCATTTCATCTTCAGTTTCTTCATCTGTAAAATGGGCATAACGACAAGCCCAACGGGGAAGTGGTTAGTGAGGTTCTTCAATGTGACGGGCATTTGGGAACCTGCAGAGGGCAGTACCAGGGCCAGGCTGAGGGGGCGGGATGCTGGGAAGGGGTGGGGCAGGAGTCCCCGCCCCGCGCCCGCTCTGGGACGCTGGCCCCTGCTCGCTGTCCCCCGCGTCCCAGGACCCCGCAGGCCCGCGCGCCTCGGCTTGGCTTGTCCTCTCCCGCGCGCGTTGCCAGGGCCGGATGCCAGGGCCGGCCGGGCTCCGCGCAG